CCAAGATGCTGGGTAGATGTGAGGATTTCCCAACCCATGTGAAAGTCTCATGTCTTAGTTACATTTCTCCCATTACGGGACAAAAATACCCGGCACCCAAAAGGGGGAAAGGTTTATTTAGCATACAGTTTGTGGAGGCTTCAGTCCATAATTGGCTGGCTCCAAGGCAGAGTGCACATGGCAGAAGGGGAAGAGTTCATGGTGGTGGAAGCCAGAAAAAGCAACAAAGGGGGTGTGGTGGGGAGTGACAAGCCTCTTTATGTTCTTTATATTGTATTTAGTCTACTGGGATTAAGGCAGTGCCAATCCAATGAGTGGACTGATCCAGCATCCTTAATCTCAGCATTGCACTTCAACTCAATCACATTCTACATTCAGCCACCTCTGAAAAAACCCTATGACCACATGAGGCTTTGGTGGGACACCTAGACACAAACCATCACATTCTGCCCCTGGCCTCCCAAAGACTCATGCATATCCCTCTATACAAAAGTCATTTAGTCCATCTCCAAGAGTTGCCAAAGTCTTAACAGTTTCAGCAATGCTGAAAAGTCCAAGTCCCAAGTCTCCTCTGAGATTTAAGGAGAACTCTCTGCTTTGCTGGGAGCCCCTGTACACATGAAAAGAAAGTTAAATACTTTCAACATTCAATTGCACAAGATAGACATTTCCATTCCAAAAGTTACAAAGAGGGATACAAAGGAACAGAATGAAAGCAAGTCCAAAATCCAGCAGGGTAAACAGCTAGTCCTATAGTTGCCATGTGTAGCACCCAAGGCAATCTGTGAGCTTCAAAGGGCTTGGGTGACTCTTCCCCTATGGCTCTTCTGGTGGCTGTAGCTCCTATGGCCTCTCTCTTGGGCTGGCCAGGTTCCCTCCTTGCAGTTTTCCTCAGATGATCCATGTTCCTGGCTTCTCCAGTCTTCTGGGATCTCCACTGGACCTTTGGCTTTGCACTCACATCTTCACACACTGCCCTCTCAGGTGCACACGGCCTGGCCTCCCAGACCTTCTTTTGAAATCTGAGTGGAATCCTTCCTGATCCCACAACTCTTCCATGCTGCATGCACTTAACACCAGTGCCATGTGGATGATACCAAGGTCTGCTGCCGGCTGGAGTAGTAGTCAGGCTTTCCTCTCTCTTGGCTATAGGGGTCAAGTGCCTGGATTGCTGAGCACTCTGAATTCAATTCCAAAGAGCAAATTCTCTATGCTGCCATTTTCTGGAACATGGTGCTCTGGGGCTTTCTTCTCAAGGCAAAATCTTTAAGTTTTGCACTTTTGAGGCTGAAAAGAATGGAGTCCACCTGCTTCTTACGATGTCTTCAGGCCATCTGTTCTGTTCTATTTTCTGTTCCTTCTCTGCTTTACTAGAGCTCTTTCTGGCCAACTCACAGCATTTTAAATCGTTCTGCTGGCCTCTTTGCTCTTGATTCTGAACATAGATCTGGTTAAAGCCCCCAACACTAGTCATACCATTGCCTCAATGTTAGACTGCCTTGAAGTTTCTTCTGCAAGATTATTTAGTCTGCTACCATTAATCTTAATCTCAAGCAAAGTCTCTGTACATGAGCAACATGCAGACAAACTTTCCGCTAAGCCATAACACACACTGTCTTAATTCAACAGCCAGTGCAGTCCTTCTTTCTAGCAGAAACCTCCTGAGCCTGATTTTTACCAGCAGTATTTCTACCAGCCTTGTCATCTTCTGAACTCTGACTGGAATCTCCCATACAGTACAGCCTAATGCATTCCAGTACTATTTTTTCAGCTGGTATCTCCAAACCTTCCAAATGCTTCCTAAAAGCCATACCCAAAAGCCTCTGCACCACTTGACTGGGAATAGTCACAGCAACAAACCCACCTCTGATACCCAATTCTATTTTAGGTAGCTTTCTATCATTGCTGGGAAAAAATACCTGACATCCAAAGTTAAAGGGGGAAAGGTTTATTTAGCTCACAGTTTGTGGAGGTGTCAGTTTATAATTAGCTGGCTCCAAGGCAGAGTGGCACATGGCAGAGAGGCAACATTCCATGGTGGCAAGAGACAGCAAAAGCAACAAAGGGGGTGTGTGACAAGCCTCTTTCTGCCCCTTATATTGTGTCCAGCCTATCAGGATTACGGCACTGCCAGTCCAATCAATGAAGTGATCCTGCAATCATCCACCATTAATCCTAGCACCCTTAATCCCAGCATTGCACTGTGAATCAGTCATACACTCTAGATTCAGCCACCTCTAAAAAATCCCTATGATCACATGAGGCTTTGGGGGGACATCTGGATACAAACCATAACACCTCAGTTTTCATATCCTCTATTTAAAAACTGAGTGGAGATAAACTCTGCTGAGTGGAGACAGGAGGCTGCCCCTATCACCTCCCCTCCCAGCCACCTCCTGTCCCTCCCTAGAAAATAGAAAGGCTTACCTTTCACCCCACTTGATTCTGGTCATCTTGCTCCCACAGTATTGTCACATGGCATAAAAACACCCTGGATACTAAACAAAAGGACAATACTGGTGTGTCTTTATCAAGGCTCCCCAAATCTTCTGCCCACTCATTGTAATATGTATTTCAAATACAATTTTCTTTTGTATATTTAATACTTACTTAACTCATAAGCAGGGCATGATGGTGCTTGCCTGTTATCCCAGAACTCTGGGAGGCTGAGGGAGAAAGACTAAAAAGTTCAAGCTCAGTCTGGGCAACTTAGTGACTTAGGGAGACCTTGCCACAAAACAAAAAAAAGTGGGGCTGGGAATGAAACACAGTGTGAAGACCCTGGGTTCTATCCCCAGTCCTGAAAAAAAAATCATATGCAGAATGTCTTGACCATTTGTCTATCAAAAAACTTAAAAATGTAAGACAAACATATTTTTAAAAAGTCTAGCTCTGCATACCTGTATCCCAGCACTTGAGAGGCTGAGGCAGGAGAATTGCTGCAAGTTCTAGGCCAGCCTGGGCTCTACATTGAGTTCAAGGCCAGTGTGGAATACACATTGAAATCCTGCCTCAAAAAAAACAAACAGAAAATTCTTCAGAGGGTGTGTGTATAAAAAAAAATTTTGAAGCCATTTGTGGTGGTACATGCCTATAATTCCAGCTACTCAGAAGGCTGAGGCAGGAGGATCAATTTCAAGGCCAGCCTGGGTAAAACCGTGCCTCAGAATGAAAAGTAAAAAGGCATGGGGGTGTAGCTTAGTGGCAGAGCAGCCCTGGATTGGATTCTCAGTACTGGAAAGGAATTTCAAGCCCCTGTGGTAGACCATGGTGCTCTAGGAGTGGTAGCAGAGGCGAGGAGGCAGGAGCACGGGACTGGCATGCTCCCGGAGCCATCTCTCTCCAACTGGCTGGGCTGCACTTTGATGTGGCTTCCTGCGTCCCTCACTGTGGTGTAGCTACGCGATATAAGCTCCTGAGCCTAAGTCTCTTGTCTGTTTGGGCCATTACTGTCTCCCCAGCATTAACCATAGCGCTGGCACACAGCAAGCACTCGCTCGCTCACTCACTCACTCAGGGAGTGAACGCATGGCCACCACTTCCGGTCCTGGCATCATGGGTCAGGCACCATGCTAAGGGCTGCTCATGCATGCCAGTTTAATTCTCACCATCACCCACAGGAAGTCCACTTAGTCTTCTTCCTTTAGAGATGGAGATACAAGGCATGGAAAGGTTGCACAGGACACCCAAGGTCACCAGGCAAGGCAGTAACAGGTTAGAACCTAGGCACCCTAGCGAGAACCTTTAAACGTGATGCCTCTCCCTCCCTGCAGTCCCTAGCAGTGTCTTCGGGTTCTGAAGCTCCCTTGAGCGGGTCACACCCTCCACGGCCGTCCTAAACAGTTCTCCGCCATCAGTTGCCTTTTCCTCCTCCGTGGTTTCTTCTCTGCTGCCTGTTTAATATTTAAGTTGCACACACCCTGGGACTTCTGGAGACCCTCGTCACTGACCTACTTACCTATCCAACCATCTTTCCTCACACGCGGGGGAGGGCAGCATTGGGAGGGCTGGGGCGTCTCTGAAAGGAAGGAAGGAGGCAGGGAGAATGGGACGACTGCCTCACATCACACTCCTGCACCAAGCAGCAGGAGAACATGAATAAAACAAGGTCAGGCTCCTCTGCTTCCAGACCGTGACCGTGTAACGCTGATTGTAAGTGGCTTTTCAGGAAAGCAGCCCCCAGTTCCTCCGGCGCGGAGAAGGGCCTCCGCAGCCCCGGCTGTGTTGGGGGGCAGGGTACGGGAAAGGAAGGTGTTGTGTGTATTCCGCCAGTTACCGAGAGGTCTTGGAAGTCAGTGTGAACTCTCAACCCTTGGTAGTAAGAAGCCTCTAAACCAGACACAAACTGGCGCTGTCTTTCTAACCATCTCTGGGCAGGCATAGCTTGGAGGGTGGAGAAGGAGCCCTTTACCAAGGCGCGAGGGCTCACCTAGTCTCCAGCCTGCCCACCTCGGGAACCCCGGGGCTCCCGCTTTCCGAGACCTGGGTCATGGGACGGCCGTCCACTGCCTTCACGCCCACTGTGCCTCGCACGGACTCGGTCCCTCGTTCCCATTTCCACATCGCCAGCCTGGGGGTGCCCAACGCTCACGGTCACACCTCAGAGAGAGGCGTGGGGACGGTGGGATGCAAAAGGTGGCTTCACCAGGAATGGGAGTCCTGTCCGGGTTCCCAGTGTTTCCCGTCCCTTTCCGTGAGACTCAACCCACCGCCTTCCTATTGAAGTCCGGAGGGAACATTTAAGGGACAGTGAGGTTCGAAGAACCACACGCCTTGCTCAGAGCTGCCCGGCCCCCGCTTGGGGCTACAAGAAAGCTCTGGCCCCTGCTAGCCCCCCCGCCCTCCTTCCAGCGAGGCCCCGCGGTGGGCGGAGGCCGGTGCTCCCCAGCCCTCTGCCCCCCAAGCCCGCCCTCCCGCCCGTGACGTCAGAACCGGACCCGGTAAACTGAGCGGCGGCGCCGGGCGCTGGGGCGGAGACTGCGACCCGGGAGGCGCGGGCGGACGGACGGACGGACAGACGGAGTGGTCTGCGGGAGATCGGAGGTACGCGGAGCCCTCTCCCTGCGGGCGGGCGCGGCGCGGGAGGACGCGGGGCGCACGGACCCGGGAAGCCAGGCGCGGGCCACTTTCCAAGCCCTTAGCCGGGGCGGTGGGAGCTCGGGCGCGGCGGGAGCGGACAGCGTGCGGGGATCCCGGGTCGGGCCCCGACGGCGCTCGCGGGCGGCGTTCCCAAGGAGCCCGGCGCTCTCGGGGACGCTGCCGCCTTGGCGAGCCGGTGCGCGCGACTCCGGGGAACCCGAACGGGGGCTGGGCGGGGTCGGGTCCCGGCCGCGCGTCCTCACCGCGCGCCGCCCCGCAGCCGCCCTGAGCCATGGCCCTGAGCGAGCTGGCGCTGCTCCGCTGGCTGCAGGAGAGCCGCCACTCGCGGAAGCTCATCCTGTTCATCGTGTTCCTCGCGCTGCTGCTGGACAACATGCTGCTCACCGTCGTGGGTACGTACGGTCGGGATCCCCCTCCCCAGGACTCGCTTCCCTGGGCGCCCCACTTACCCAAGGGCGGCCCTAAAGCTCGGTCCCCGCCCGGGAAAGTCGGAGCGCGCGCCCTGCAAAACTGCATCTCTCCTGACCGCCGCTCCGGAGCTCGGAGGAGGAGCTGCGCTTGTGGCTTCGCTTTCCTGGTGGTCAGGTCAAAAACGGTGACCTCCCGATAAGACCCAGAGCTTATGTTTCCTCCTGATAATTTCCTGCTTCTCTTTGCTCACTTTCACCAAGATGAAAAAGATTTCCATTAAAGAGGAGCAATTCTCAGACTTTAAAGAATGCTTTAGAATAAATATTATGCTACCCCAAAAGGTGGGTTAATAAGTTGGTGTAACTGCAGGAACAAGACATAGCCCTCCCTCAAAGAAGGAAGTGACATTTGAATAAGCTGGAGCGAGTGACTTGAGACAAACATCTCAGGACCCCGTTAGAGAGCAGTGGGAGCTCTTGCAGTGCTGTAATCCCAGCACCTGGGGAGGCTGAGGCAGGCTGATCTCCAGTTCAAACCCCACCTGGGCAATTTATGGAAACTCTAAAATGAAAAGAAGTTGGGGACGTAGCTGAGAGGCAGAACCTCCTCGAGTCTGATCCCCAGGGGTGAAGGAGGGGAGGAAAGCAGGGAGAGAGAGAGAGAAAGAGAGAGAGAGGGAGAAGGAGAGAGGGAGGGGAAGAGAGGGAGGAAGGAAGGGAGAGAGCGCGCTAGAGAGAGAACAATTGGAATTGTTGCTTATAGCCTTTTTTCTATAATGGAGTTTTGAAAAACTAAATAATTGAAATCCATGTCTCTTAATTAGCCCCATTAATAGATGAGTATTTGGCATACTTTCCTTTTTAAAAAACAATCCCAATTTTCAACGAATAAAATAGAATGTTCTGTTCAGACTGTTTAAGTGGTGGGTCGCCTTTTCTTCCCCATCTGCAGGTGCGCAGGACACTTCTCAGAGCATCAGTCAGGTTTTCAGCTCAGGAGCGTGAGAGCCCAGGCTCCTCCTGGCTCAGGAACAAGGGCCTCCCAGCCCCTTTGTCTTGGATGCTCTGTTATTCCCTCTGTGCCCCAGACTTCAATTATATGGAACAGTTTTGCTTTTCCTTCACGGAAATCTGAGGAATTCTTAAACTTCACAGGTTGTATGGAAAATTGCTCACATAAACAGAAGGGTGAAGTTAGCCTGCAGCAGAGTTACCCATTTATCATTTCCTGCTGGTTTGATTTTTTTTTCTTTTCTTTTCTAAGATGCATAATGAAGTCTAGACTTCCATTTCCTTGCTTCATTTACTTAGAACTCTCTCTGAGAAGCTCCCCTTGACACCGGGTCAGCATGTCTTGACCATAGACCAAGTTTTGCTTTTCTTATCCCTCTGAGGGAATGCTGTATTAAGAAACAAGAGACAAAAATCTCAGGAGTTTGTTCTGCCCAATGGACCTAACAGTGTGGAATTGCCCCAGCATGCATCAGTGCAGGTATCCAGCACAGGGGGTGGATGTGCCACCTCTCTGGGCCTCCAGCATGCATCAGTGCAGGTATCCAGCACAGGGGGTGGATGTGCCACCTCTCTGGGCCTCCTCTGGCTTTTGATGCAATCTTAGTTTTGCTAACTCTTGTTTCGTGGTGAGTTTCAGGGTAATCACCACCTTCTTGTTCTGCCCAGTTCCCATCATCCCCAGTTATCTGTACAGCATTGAACATGAGAAAAATGATACCGGCACCCAGACTCCTCAGCCAGTGTTCACAGCCTCCACCCCAGGACGCTTCCAGAGTATCTTCTCCTACTATGACAACTCCACCAAGGTCACGGGGAACACCACAGGAGACCTTCACGGGGGGCAGCTGCATAAGGCCATCACCACACAGCGTGTGGTGACCAACACGTCTGCTGCCCCTTCCGACTGCCCCAGTGAGGATAAAGACCTCCTGAATGAGAACGTGCAGGTTGGCCTGCTGTTTGCCTCCAAAGCCACTGTGCAGCTCTTCACCAACCCTTTCATCGGACTGTTGACCAATAGGTAGGCTGTGCGCCGTTAGGGGGCGTTTTGTATCATCCACATACATTTCCACCTGCAGCTCTCCCTCCTGCTTGGTTGTCAGGGTCTAAAGACTTGGTGATGGGTGAGCTGGGGAACCTAGTCTTCTCAGCCTCATGTCTCCGTTCACTCTGATTCCCCATTTGTCCCATCTTTCTATCCTCTCCTGTTGCTCAGAAAGTAGGAAAATAGGAAAGGTGACAGAATAAAGAGAATAAAACTGTGCTTTTGTCTCAATGCTGGGTTTCGTAAGTACTTCGGTCACAGTCTTGGGCAGCAAAAACTTTGCAGCCACAGGCCACTGTCAGATTCTGCGTGCAATGTGCCTTTCTCTTGTCTTCCACCTCTGGTCGTGCACCTACTTATCAAAAGCTGTGGTGGTTTCTTTTAAGGATATCATGGCAAAGGATTTAGTAGCCACCCAGGTGGGGAGTGAGGGGGGAAAGATTGGTGGTACTGCAGCTTCCCAGGTGAAACCCTTAGCTGATGCTGAGGTGCTGAGCCATGTTCTTTTCCTTCTGCTGGTTATTAATCTGTGTCCACGTGCTCAAGGGGAAGAGAACTGAGACTGTTGCCTGGAAAGTCCAAGCCGCCCAATCTAGCTTAATGCATATTAACCCTATGTTCTAGATTACTTTGGATCTACATTATCTGGAGTAATTGTTCACTGCATTGCTGGTGACCATCCATCAAGTATTTATTTGTCCATGGCTGAGATGGCCTGGTTTTGCCAGGTACATCAGAGCTCAAAGCACAGGACACAGACTTCTGGACAGTCCCCTAGGGTGCCAGCTGCAAGGAGTGGGAGCTGGAAGAGTTGGGCTGCCAGGTGAACTTATTAGCTGCACAAGTAGAAATGCAAAAATGGTAGAGGCGGTTGTGTCCAAAGTCTTGCCATTTAGCCAGGCCAGAGTTATAAGAAAGACTAAGGCTAGAGGTGGGCTGGAGACTGTGGCGGAGGAGAGGTACACTGACGAGTACATGCCAAGGAGGAGGCCCTGGGGCAAGGCTGTGAGGCCCCAAGTGCTTGGCCAGAAGGAAAGGGATTTTGTGATGGGCAGCATTTGGGATCCATATGAGCTTCCATAGCTGTATGGAAGAGTCAGTGGGCCAAGCAGTGTAGTGGGAGAGATGGAGAACAGGATCAGCTACATAACTTGTGTTGTAGGCCCGTATTGAGCTCCTTGTTCAAATGTCATGAAGCATTTCAACATGACGGGACAAAGCACTGAGCCAAGGACAGAGCCCTCTGAGAGAGGAGCCCGGTGCTTCTCTGGGGTTGAGGGTCTGTGAGCTGAGGAGGTATGGAGGAAGTGGAAGGGGCTCCGAGAGGGGATGGCAAACTCCCCCTTTCCTAGCACCAGCTGCCATGGACACACACAATTGTTAACAATCCCAGCCATGGCCAGCCTTCCAGTCTGTGCAGAGCAATATTATACAGCTGCTACACAAAATAAGCAAATTAACCCAGTGAAGGGCCAATTCTGAGCGCACCATGAAACGTCATTACGGGGGTGACACGCGGCAGCTCCTCTATTCTCCAGAAAAAGACCAAACAGACCTTAAGAGTCATGGGTTCTTTTTCTTTCTTTTTTCAAAACTAAGAGTGCTTCTTAAAATGCATCTGGTATAATTACAGAAAGCAGCGCAGGGTTTTGTATTCTGACAGAGCAAACGGCTCCAATAGTATGTGTGAAAATTGAGGACATTATCGTAATAATGCCTTGCCAGTCACTTGGGTGGGAATGACTCGCTGTACTGTGTAATACTGAGAAGCTCATGAAATGATGGGAGTGTTCCCATCTTCCACATGCAAATAGCAAATGAACAGCTTTTAAAAATCCCATTCTTGTTTTTAATGCTTTGCTTAGACCATGGGGAGAAGCTTGTTTAAAACCAGTGAGACCTTTCCCCTATTAAATATGTTAAATGCTTCGAGGTTGCAGCTGTCCAAAGCTTCTGTTTGGGACCCCCAAAATTGTCTTGCAAGAGAATCCTCATTCGGTTTTATGACTTGTGAAATGTAGTCTATTTTTAGGGTGAGGGAACCATGTTGGATGATCTAAAGCAGAATTTTCACCCCTGCCTGGTTTCCCCAGCTATCCAGTGAGTTTAAAAATGATCTTCAGCATCGACCCTACCTGGTAATGGAGAATGCAAATTTTAATACTAATCTAGCCAAAACAGTGGAGCAGACTTGGGGATCTGCAGCTCCTCTGGACCCTCCAAGACAGGGCTGCTGCCGAATTTTGGTGGAAACTAGCCCCGAAGGCACACAAACCTTGCGTTCTCAGTCTTCTCTCGTGAGCTGATACCAAAAATCTTTGGACAGAATTTGTCCCAGTCTCATCCTCAGTTACCAGCAAGAGCTGTGACTCATGTTTTGAGTGTTATAAACAAATGTGTTTAATACAGTACTTTAAAGGCGATTAAAAAAATAAAAATGATCGATATACTTGTGATTAAAGAGGGATTTAAACCGCCCTGTGTAACTCAACCTTTCCCGGGTTGTAAACGAGTTGGCTCCTGTATTCCTGACTAGAGAGAAGTTAAAAACAGGGAGCATCCGAGCTTGCAGCGATTTTACCCAAACTTTTTGGGTCAGTCTTAGAATTGTGTGACAGAGGAGTTGTGCGCCACTGCTATAGCACCACGTCCAGGCTCCATCCTGGTCTCAAGGCTCTGTTCCTGCCTCTCCTGTTCTTTCTACCTGTTACTATTCCACAGTTTGTACTTTTAGCTATTAAAAATAGAGAACATAGATTTAAAAAAATCTGTCATTCTTGCATGTTCTTGGGCCCTTCCTGGTTATACCAGTCTGAACAGGTAAAGGCTTAGTGAGTTTTAGTCAATGAGCAAATAATATAGAAAACAGTCAGTCTGCTTTTTGGGGATTAACACCTTTCTAGGCCCCAGGAAAATAATTATCTTTTTTCAGCTCCTGATATGACCTGGTCCAACTGGTACATCCCCAGAGTCACACTGGGGAGCCACCTTGTCAGATGGACCCCAAGGCCTTGTGCATGCTGAGTCTGTGCTCTACCAGTGAGCCCAAGCTACACCCCAAGCCCAAAATGTGGTATCTTATTCTTCACTTGCTTTTTGTAATGAATTAAGTAGCTGTTGTGTCTTGAGCCACTCTTCTCTAAAGCACTTTGCATTGATTTAAGGGGGACCCACTCTGAGATGAGACACCCCACAGTGTAAGATTCCCATCCCAACCCCTGTATTCATGATTAAGATGGTGTCACCTGAGTAGCTTCTATTAGGTGATTAAAAAATAAAGTTTTAACTACTGGGATTAGATCTTATGCCAAATCCTGAAAACACAAAGTAACAACTCTTGGGAAGCATTTAAGCACTCCTTTGACTGGCAATCTGATACAAATCTTTTTTTTTTTTTTTTTTCTTTGACACAGGGTTTTGCTATGCAATTCAGGCTGGCCTTGAACTCACTTTGTACCCCAGGCTGGCCTCAAACTCGTAGCAATCCTCCTGCCTCAGCCTCCTGAGTGCTGGGATTACAGGCATGCACCACCCCACCAGCAAAAATCATTCTTGTTTTAATTAGTGTTAGGGTGCTATATTTTTGCTGAAAATATGTGACCAAATAGGGAACAAAGGGCCTTTGGTTTTGGCACATGCAGTTGTCTTTTTTTTTTTTCGTACCAGGAATCGAACTTGGGACCTTGTGCTTACCAGGCAGGTGCTTGTGCTACTGGGCTATATCGCCAGCCCTGCATGTGCAGTTGTCTCATGTCCAGTAACACACTTGCCAATGCCCAAGGATGCTTTGGTCGACTTCCAAGGGTGACTTTTTTTGTAATTCCAATTTAACTGGTCATTCTACATGTGCAGCGTGTGTGGCAGGAGGCACCAGGAATTACACTAGTGACACAAATCATAATTGAGTTCTGTAAGTGAATTTTAGGCATATATGTTCGTAAAAGGAAGGTTCTAAGCAGAAAAACAATGTGCAAATATATCTCTCCTCCATAAAGGTGTGGCTGTCTTTCTCTTTTTGTGCTGGGGATGGACCCCATGGCCTAGTGCATGCTGAGCCCGTGCTCTACCAGTGAGCTACACCCCAAGCCCGAGATGTGGTATCTTGGTCTTCACTTACTTTTCGTAGTGGATTAAGTAGCAGCTGTGTTTTGAGAATGGAAAGTTGTTACCTCAGGCCAGCCAGCTGGCTGGGGAAAGAGTTAACTGTCGCTGGAGGCCATCTCCCTCGGCTTCCTCTTTAGCTTGTCATTGTCTGGGTGGTCTGCTTTTCATCAAGCCAGCGTCACAGGCTTAATTTATTTTCATAGTTACCTAGTATATTTCAAAGCAGTTATTTTCACACACAAATCTTTGCTAACATCTGAATGACAAGGGAGAGGCCACAGGGCATGAAACCTCTCTGAAATCTACTGGGGTTGTTATTTGTTCCCTTTAGCTCCGATCAGTTGGTTTGCAGTGGGCTTTGTTGGAATAAGCAGTGACCTTTTCAGCTTCTCTGTGGACAAGGCAGCCAGCTGTTCTGGAAAGGGATTTCCCATCCTAGATGAAGCTGGATGGTAGGGCTGAGGTGGTGGGGAGGATATAGTGGAGTCTTCTTTTCTGAAATGGGGAGAAACCAGCAGTAGAAGTGGAGCAGTTCTCATGGGAGCAAGTCTCTACCTGCAGTGTGTCTGGCAGTAGGGCTCACAGTCAGTAAAGTCAGAGATCCATGATCCATGCAGCTCCTTGCATGCATCTAATAGCCAATATCAACTGCACACCCACCCGCAGACCCAAGGACATAACTTTGATGGTTTTACTTGTTTTTCTAGGGATTCAGTATGTGATTTTTAGTCTTATTCAAATTGGATTAACTGCTTGCTCCCTGATGCTCTGTTGAGGATGAGTATGGGCAATTGGATGACTCACAGGGGCTGATAATGGATGTGTGGATAAAGGTTTGCTGAATCAGATTTAGCTGACTCGTAATACATTAATTGAGGTGGCACTGAATTGAGACAAGAGGGTCAGTTCAGAAGTTTATGACTAAGGTCAGCTGAGTTTCTGTCCATTTAGTAAACGTTGTGGGAAAAAACATTTTCTCCTTAGAAAAGGCACCAGTGTTCTGCCCACTACTCAGTGACCTAGGGCTTGTAGACAGCTGTCCTGCTGAGGTGGGTGTGCACAGGGATGGAAGAGTTTGAGGATAGAGACCCAGGAGCTACCCAGGGTGTCTTATTTTCCTTGGGGTTGTGCAGCAGGGAAAGGTGCTGCGTGGCACTGACCCCCAGGCACCCCTGCTTGTGGGTTGGCCAGTGTTGGGTATACAGGCATGTGTGTGCCAAGCTAAGAGAAGGCGGCACCTGAGCCCAGGTGTGCTTGCAGCTTCTGGCTTGCTCTGGACGTGCCAGTGAGCCACACTATGTCATGGAAGATGAGGGTGTGGACTGGCCAGTCTTTATATTTCTTTCTCGCTTTTGCCATTTGATTATTCCAGATATGCTTTGTTAAAAAGTATTCCTGGGAAGACCCTTGTGTAATGCACAGCCTGTAGGTGTCACCCTTCATCCCACATGCCATTGGGAACCTCTTACCCTTGGGGCTGGCATTCCCACCAAAATATATGCCAGCCGGGCCTGGTAGACACTATGCACTCACAGCACGAGCACCCCCTGAATTTGGGACAAGTCATTTACTTTCCCGGAGCCCCAGTATCGATCACCTGAAAAGCGGACACCACCCCAGCTACCGCATGTAACTGCAGTGGGAATGCCAGGTCACCTGCACACCATTTCCCTGCTTGTGGAATGCCTGGGTCTGCTGGGAAGAAGGGGCCCCAGTGGTTTCCAGCCCACGCCTGCTGTGCACTGCCAGGTGACCTCAGCTACTGGCCAGACTGCAGACCTGGCAAACCATCGCTGCTGGTGTGGGAACCATGTATGGGGCTACCGCATTTCCTCACATTTTGGCCCGAAAGCGCTCAGAGCATCTCCTTGCATCTGCAGAGAGATGGCAGGTGTTTCATGTGGATGAAGGGTGCCCCTTTTAAAGCTTTCAACCAAAGTGAAGAAAGAGAAAAAAGGGTTAGACCCCAGTTCCAACAGCTTTGACATACATATGAGCGATAAAAATATAGTGAAAGTTTAAATTAAAAATTATCACAGTACAAGACATATGGCCAGTAATCCTCCTCAAAATATTCCTCCTCACTTTAAGCACACTTAATCCTTTCATGCGCGCCACTTTGTGAGGCGGTTCTGGAAATTTTTCTCTAGTGTCATTAGTTGTGCTGTGTCAGAACCAGGATAATGGTGGTGGAGGAGACACGCTCGCGCTTTTATTGGGCAGAAATTGCTGTAAAGTGTTGACCAGTGAGCAGTGATCATAAAATACAGTGAAGGGTTAGATTGAAAAATTTAAAAGCCATGTTGCATCAGACCCCCTCCAAATGTTCTCTCTCACTTCAAATACATTTATCCTATCAGTCTTGACAGTACTTTACTAGAATACATTTTTTAAAAAATGTAAACATTCATTGTATTTTTAGATGACTCATTGTATTAGCGTGTCCCCTACTAAATTTCCCAAATCTGTGTTAAAAGAGGTGAGAAAGCCTATATTTCTTCCAGGGCAACTGGGAAAATTGTCACGTGTCTGCTCTCTCACAGGGTGCACCATAGTTGTAAACAGTAAGCTGTCTGCAAATTTTCTGTGAGCCTCCTGGACTTTTCCTTATTCAGTATCCAGCAGCAGCAAGTAAGACGGTGGTTTATTTTGTCCTCATGAATAAACAGCACAGAGCAGTCACCTTAGGCTGCCTGAGACAAGCAAGCTGATGGCAGTGTCAAGTGCTCTGTGAAAAGGGGACTGACTGCCTGAGAATCTTTTATTAATTTTAGATGCTATTTGTATTTTTGGTAGTGGTTTTTTTGATGCATGTGAAATTGTTTTAAAACCATACATTAGTTTTTTCAGGATAACTTAACAGAGAGGTTCCATTTAAAGCCACGTCTGTCCTTTGGCTACCTGGGGAAGCGATAAAGTTTGCAAGGAGAAGCCCTGGACTGGAGGAAATGGTCCAAGTAAAATTATCCCGATACAATTTGGCAAGTCACCTTTTCATTCTGGAGTTTCCTCATCTGTAAAATAGGGAGCTGATTGCCTGTATGAAATCATTGAGCTGGTGGGTATAAGTGCTCGGGGTTTTGGGTATAACCTTTAAATGAAGGTGCTGTGACTGCGCCTTCTTAAGAAAGCATCAAATAGAAAAGCCCTTCCAGGAGTTCCTGGGCTTAGCACGCTTGGCCCTTCTGGCTTCTTGGATTTCTCTGGCCCCTCTCCAGATTCTTGGGGTCCAGGACTAGGGGGAAGGAGGCCTAGAGATGCTCTTGGCTGGTCTGGGTTGGAGAGAGCCTACAGGAGAGCAGTTGCTATGCCCATCCTGTCTCCTCTTTCTCAGGGCAGAGTGGCGATGAATGAGGCTGCCTACTTCCTCCTGCCCCACCTGCATAGCAGGGACCAAGCTGTCTGTTTAATCCCACCAAACAGTGGGAAGAGAAGGAGGAGGGTGAGAGAGGAAATGAAATTTTGAAGCACCGTCTGTGCTCCAGCTGCACTGTAGATGCTTTAACCTGCATTGCTCTCTATATTCAGGTCTTACGGGTGGGCAGTGGTCTCTTGATGGTGCTAAGGGACTTGCCTGGGATACTAGAAGGCCCTTTCCTGGTACCAGAGCCCTGGATGGTCTTACAGGGAAAGAGGGGTTTTGAATTTTTGCATAGAACATGAGGACTGTCTGCTTAGGCTGGTCTCGCTCAGGTCAACAGGAAGGTAGGTTTTAATATCTTGCTTCCTAATGCCTCTTAGATAATAGAGCTGCAGCCAGGTGAGCCGCCTGATGGTGTTTTACCGGAGAGAATCAGTTGGTTGTGACTGTCCCCTTGGGGGTGGTCTAGCAAATACTAGAATTAAAGAAATTAAAAAAATAGATGGAAGTAGGGTTCATATGTTTTGGATGTGTTCTCGGTTACTTGCCAATACTGTGTTAATATTTATTCCAGAGAAATTGTTGTTCAGAGTACCAGTCCATAAATGTATTCACGTTCCAAGACAGTCAAACACAAAAAGGTCACGTATCAAGCACGAAGAATATGAATTTTTAGAAAAGTTGACCAAAAGCTTATCTGTCTGATCCCAAAGGGTAGCTAAGAGACAATCAATATAAAGCTTTTAAAAAATACCCAGCAGTCATCAGATTTTCCTTTTGTTTGTGTTTTGCAGGATCGGCTATCCAATTCCCATGTTTGCGGGGTTCTGCATCATGTTTATTTCAACAGTTAGTAAGTGCCTCATGTTTGCCTTCTGAGTGTGGATACCAGAATGACTTCTGCTGTTTTCAAGCTGAGACTCAGAATACAGAGGGGGTTGGGGAGGTGTTGCATATTGGAAAAAGGAGTGGAGAAGGAGGCTTTGTGGAGCAAAAATGTAGTGCGGTAAACATGGAAGTGCTCCTTTGGTTAAGGTTGGCTTTGGAAATGCCCCTGTTGGGATGGTAACATCCTCCTGGCAGGGGCATGGCCCTAATACACTGTGCTGGGCCTCCTCTTTTGGCAGTGTTCGCCTTTTCTAGCAGCTACGCCTTTCTGCTGATTGCCAGGTCCCTGCAGGGCATCGGCTCTTCCTGCTCTTCTGTAGCTGGTAGGTACAGAACCACCTGTGTGTGTAGTTTTGGGGGGGGCGGTCTGTGTTGGTCAGCTTTCCTTCCCTATGACAAAATACCTGAGAAAAACAACTTAGAGAAGGAAAGGATTATTTGGGTCATGGTTTCAGAGGATTCAGTCCATGGGAAACTGTACCATTGCTTTTAACCTGTGGTGAGGCAGAGTCATGGGGAAGGGTAGAGTGGAGGAAAGCTGCTCACCTCATGGCAACGAGGAAGCAGGGAGAGGACAAGAGCCAGAGAGGAAGGGGCTGGGAACCAGATACAATCCCCAAAGGTAGTCCCATGACCCACTCTCTCTACCTAGGCCCCTCTCCTCTTACTACTGTTACCCCCCACAGTGCCATCAAGATATATAGTCTCATCAGGGGCTTCATCCACTGATGAAGTTAGAACTCTGATGACCCAGTCACTTCTAGAAATCCATACCCCCGAACATGAGATTTTGGGAGATATTTTAGATCTAAGCTGTAGCCCCCAGCATTGCCCTGGCCAGTCTCTTGGCCAGTCTCCTGGCCAGTTAGCTGGATTAATACAGGGACTCAAGGTATTGGTGGTGGGGGGGATTCTAGGAGAAGCTGCCCACCTTCCTTTTGGGTTCTTCTTGGTCCCATTTGCAGCTACTGTCACAGATTCAGGAAGATCACTATTCCGGCAGGAGAGGGAGGGTGCTCCCCAGGACCTAGGTGTTAACTGTGTCTTCAATTTAGGGATGGGCATGCTTGCCAGTGTGTACACAGATGACGAAGAGAGAGGCAATGCCATGGGGATCGCCTTGGGAGGCCTGGCCATGGGGGTCCTAGGTAGGTAAGAGCCACTGTATAGTCCGGTGGACAGGAGGGGCGTGTCTGGCATTGGGCGGTGATGGTGCTCACCTGGCAGCCCTGGGTGTGGTGGAGCTGAGTGTAGTTTCTATTTCTTACCTTCATGGAGACTTTGGAAAATGGTGGAAGGAGTCCTAGCTGGGAGCAACTGGGTTTTCATAGCCTTTTTCCCAAACCTCCCTGGGCCCCCATGTAGAACAAAAGGCTGAGCAGATTGGTGTGCCAGACCGCTTTCTCTCAAACATGCTGTGTGTTATGATCTGAGAGAACCTGCCCGCGTTTCACGTCTGCCTCCCCCACCCACCCTAGATGATCTGCCAGGTCAGGGGACAGACGTCTTCCCTGGGGGAGACTGCAATCCTTTCCCTTCATCTTTGACTTCCCTGCTCTTCGTGTTCGAGCATGTTTCCCCCCTCTGTGATGGATAAGGGGCGGAGCTTCACCTCCTCTTTCCCAGGCTACAGAAGCAGCACGTCTTTGTGACTGGATCTCATTTCTTTGAGACCTTCACCTTTGAGAGGGGAGTGCTTTGTATGCTTTGGCCATTCCTCAGGTGAAAACCCACTTGGAGGAAGTTGTCAAGGAATTTACTGCTAACTAAAAAGAATGTAGGGTGACCCCTTCCCATCTTTTTTTGAGCAAAGAGAAATAAAGAAACAAATGGAAACTCTAGCCTTGGGGGGCAACCGCCGGGACTGGCTTGGCCCCTCTCTCTTTCCACAGTGGGCCCCCCCTTTGGGAGTGTGCTCTACGAATTTGTGGGGAAGACGGCTCCCTTCCTGGTGCTGGCTGCCCTGGTGCTCTTGGATGGAGGTGAGGAGGCTCATGAGCACTGGGGCCATGACCTTGGTGTTCTTGAGGGCATGGACTCCTGCCATGTCTGCTTTCTGAGGGGGAGCTCATTTGTGTTTTTCCCTTGTAGCTATTCAACTCTTTGTGCTCCAGCCATCCCGGGTGCAGCCAGAGGTAAGCACCTGGGAAAGGAGGGCCTACAGTGGCCATGGAGACCATTCTAACCCTTGTTCTTTTGCTTGACAGAGTCAGAAGGGGACACCCCTAACCACTCTGCTGAAGGACCCCTACATCCTCATTGCCGCAGGTGGGGCTTCTGCGTCCACCTCAGACGAGGCTTTGTGGGGGAGGTGGAGTGAGTGGTGGGTGCCAGTGTCCATTTCGTTGCCAGAAATGTAAGGCTGAAGAGACATAAAGGGCAGACAGCTTCTGTGTCTCAGGAAATGATCTTCTCTGTCATTGTTTTCTGACCTCAGTCAAGGTGTCTTTTTGTTTTTCACTTGGGGCAAATCTAAACAGTGTGTAGCCTGCTCTGCAGAGGGCTGGGTCGTAGGATGCCACCACGATGCCCTGCCTCACAGGCTTGCTTGGAGCCTGGATTGCTCACTGCCTTTGTGTCAGAGCCCATCCTTCACTGTTTGGCCTTGACTTTGGTGACTGCATGGCAGGGGCGTATGTGGGCGTTCTGAATCCCCTTGCTGTGTCTGAATAGAGACTGTCAGAAGAGTCCCACAGGGCTTGGAGAACCCTGCTTGTCCAGCAGAGAGCCTGTCTCTGTGGAGCAGTGGGGAGGCAGGCTACAAGAAAGACAGGCTACAAGAAAGCTTTGAGTTTCTCTGCTCCTGGGAAGGAGAATGAGTCATATTTATCCGAGCAACTGTCCCCAAAAACCATCCTGGAGACAGCAGGCCACCTCGCTGTGACCCAAGGGACCAGCCTTGTGCAGGCACTGCCTGGGCCCGAGTGCTGAGGCCAGCTGTGGCCCTGGTGTGAGGTTGGGAGAAGCATGGCTGGGTGCTGCTCCCTGGGCGGCTCTGCAGTCTGGCGTCAGACCCAGTGAGGGCGCATTTATCTAAGCAGGCGTCAGGTACTCCAGGAGAGCTCAGGGAGCTTAGGAGAAGGGGGTCTGCCCTGCCTTTGGACATTTAAATTCAGCCTCTTCCAAAGCTGCAGGCTGGTCTGGTCCAACCCTTCTGGTGCTGGATTCGCGGAGGATTGCATGTATGTAGCCCAAAGGCTGGAGGCAGAAACTTCTTCATGTGCTGGGGTCCTGCTAGGTGCAGGCAGCATCCCAGGGCTGGGATGCCCCAGAGTCCTGCCATACAAGGTGGGGAGGAGGGTACGTCGTAGAAGATGAGGTCCCAGAGATGTGACTCCCTGAAGCTCGGATAAGTCTGGGCAGGGTTCTGCCGGCTGAAACCTCTCTGACAGGAGGAAATACAGAGATCTATCCAACACCACTGTCACACTATCCCCAGTTCTTGGGGGGTGCTTAGAAAGCAAGGTGTGTGTGTGGGAGGAGTCCAGTCATGTCTGTGTTGTGCCTGTAAATGTCACAGAGAATGAAAAAATCCTTTCTTCATTATGCGTGCATCTTCATCATGACCACACTGTTCCTGAGTGTGTTCTAGAAAATTGCAGGTTTCACAGAACACAACATGGGACACTCCCAGAACGATAGATGGAGGACACCCCGTGTATCTTTTTCCGGATGGTTATGTATTTACAAAGAATCTGGTTAAGAGAGTGCACAGATACCACACATGGATAGCTGACTTAAAAAGTATCCTTCCATAGCACACCTGGACCAAGAGCACTGTGATCCTCCTTGGATTTTCTGGCATCTCTGGGCATCAGAGATATCCATGTTCATGGGCAATAAAACATAATCCCAAGCATCTCAGATTGTCTCAGTGCCATGTGCTGTCTGGAGATTGCCTTGCTGCTGGGTGCCTCAAGAAAGTTACTTCATTAATAAATTGGAGCTCCTTTTCTTCATTAATAAATTGGCTGCATTAAACCAAATGCCCTCTGAGGCTCCCTCCAGTTCCAAATGATATGACTCTGGGGGCTGGGGATTTAGCTCAGCGGCAAAGCGCCTGCCTGGCAAGCGCAAGGTCGTGAGTTCGGTTCCCGGTACCGGAGAAAAACCAAA